CTGAGCACCACTGAGAAAAGCGGACATATATCTCCAACACTGCGCACTTACGTGTATCGAGTTTGTGTATTGCCGGCTCAGGCGTTCCACGTTAGAAGCGTTAACACGCCATGTGGTCGATGTCATCCTCTCCGGTGTCAAGCGGACTGAAGTATGTCACTATCGCTGCCAAGAAGACTCATTGCCCTTGATATATTGATCAAGTCGCTTACGACTTCGGAGAAAACCATCGGGGGGCGTTGAGGGTCGGCGCTTTACCCTCGAAAGGACTGTCCAAGAGACTTCTCCATTTATACACATTAATGGAAGGCTATAGTGGCGCTAGGCTAGGCTACATAATGAGATGGCCTAGCAGAACACAATAAGAGAAGAGAAGACGCTCATCAGAGAAACACATAACGATGATGGTCAGCTTCCATTCACATAGCAAAAGTACGAACACGATCCTGATCAGTTACTTGTACATGATAGGTGCGTGGAGACAAGTACACGGAATAGTTGTACGTAGGCGTTATGTTGAAGCCGCATCTTCATATCTGCCACTCAACCATCGACAGTATGCGAATACTACCCTTCAAAAGGTGTAATGAGCGAATGGAAATGCTCAATATGCCTCATATTCTACTCAAACGGTAGTCAGTCCTTCTCCTTTGAACCATATCGCATGCGTACAATACGAGCGTGCTCCTTCGGGCCATATCCCATGCGTACAATACGAGTGTGCTTCTTTGGACCATATCGCATGCATACACTGCGGAGAGTTCCTTTTTCAGCTTAGCCAAGCGTTGGACAATACCAGTCTCCCCCTCAGGAAGCACTCGAACTTCTCGCACAGTATCACGGTGCTCGGCTCCTCAAATGCCCATAATCATCTCATTCGTTCTTCTCCCATTGCTACCTTTGGTCAAGTGCTTGGATGAGGAAACTGTGGAGTTGGCTTTTATGGGTTTCAAACATAAGTAAGGTGGCAATCAGATCGTGTTGCATTATGATGTTTTGATTTGCAGGTTCGGTAAAAATTACGAGTCTAAGGAGGAAGAAGTCAAAAGGAATGCCATCTTTCAAGCCAACCTCCAGCACATCGAGCAAGTCAACGCTAAAGGTGGGTAACATCATATCGGCCATAAGCCGAGTGTCGAGCTATGCAGATCTGTCTTACAAGCTGGGCGTCAATGAGCATGCGGACCTCACACACGAGGAGTTCGCCGCTCTGAAACTCAGCACTTTGGATACGAGTACGAGGAGGGATGATGAGTTTGTTGTTGAAGGTAGGACCAGCTGAACATGCCAGCTTGAGCCTCTTTGTCTCAGTTAACACTACACAGCTCCCAACCTCGGTGGATTGGAGAAATAAGAGTGTATTAACCCCAGTTAAGGATCAAGAGTTCTGTGGGAGCTGCTGGGCTTTCTCCGCGATCGGTAAATCCCTTGGACGTGCTTGTGTGAACCTTTGCAATTTTCAGGTGCCCTCGAGGCGCAGTATGCCATTGCTACGGGTAAGCTCTTGTCACTCTCCGAGCAGCAGCTTGTGGATTGCAGTCACAAATATGGGACCAAGTAAGTGGCACCACATGCCTGTGTTTCTCATTGCATATTGATGCCATATTCTCTTGCATTTTCTCATTGCATTCTCTTGTGCATATTCCCTGTGGGAAACTCTCACACTGTTTTCATCTCAGGGGTTGTAGAGGAGGCTACATGGGGGATGCTTATGAGTACATAAAGTCAGCTGGCATCGATCAAGAGTCAACCTACCCTTATAAAGGTTGGGACGAGCCATGTCGCCCCCGTGAGAAAAAGGCTGACGGCATCCCGGTAAGATTAGTACTTAACAGTACTATCATCCTTTTCACAGGCCGGCGAGGTTACCGGCTCTTACATACTGTATTGGACTGAGCAGAGCTTGATGGACGCGCTGGCGTATGCTCCGGTCTCCGTCACCATGGATGCCTCGGGTGCCGATTTCGGACTTTACGAATCCGGAGTGTATTCGTCTAGTAAGATTTGCGCCCAATGCTGATGTGTACAGAATATTACGAGTTTAGCAACCTGTAATGGAACAGTTAATCACGCTGTTGTGGCGGTTGGTTATGGCACCGAAAATGGATCAGAGTAAGATCGAATAATGTAAATGTTCGCTGCAGTTTTTGTCTTGTTGTCAGTTACTTCATTTTCAAAAATTCTTGGGGATCCTCCTGGGGCATGGGTGGATACTTCTATTTGAAGCGGGGAGTTGGTGGTTTCGGTGAGCTTCCACACTCATCATGACATCCGCGAAATCGTCCTCTTCAGGTGAATGCAACATTCTCGAGTATATGGTTGTTCCGACGCTCAAGTCTCGCTAGATCCGCTGGAAGATTCAGTATCATCACGATTCGTCAATAGACATCATGAGAATTTGCTCTCAATAATGGTTCGCCTTCATTGTGCCAGAATAATCCCTTCCCCTTACCCGATCTTCGCTCTATCAGAGTGAAACCTTCAGAGCACCAGATGTTAAAGGTTTTACATTTCACAGGGCATTGGGGGTATTTATTTTTCCCAGTAAGTTCTCGTAAAACAGAGCTCGAGAGTTTCAGTATTTTGTTGTGTTTGATGAAGGAGTCGTTATAAGCAATATGAGGGAATGTCCACATGGCCAACTACATCATGTAGTCTACATGTGTCGGTGACAACATGAAAATTTGAAGGATGTCTGGGGCCCCCGGGGGGGTCTTATTGGTTTGAAACCAATGGTTTCTGAACACCACCCAAGTTCATAGACAAATTGCTATATTTTGCGAGAGAACTCCTGAGCTTAACTGAGTGATCGATGATATATCCCTCGAGAACTGCCCATAGACGTCGGAACTCAGCGACAACCTAATCTTGGGAATTTTCAACCTTCCAAGAAAACGTCAAGTTACTATACAAATCCTTCCTGTGACTAAACGCCATGCTATAGATCATCAAGCTGTACGGTCATGTTCTCCTCTGTGTATTGTATGCTGATAAATGGCATTGTGAGGAAATATTGTACACAAGTGTCTCCTGTAATTTTAGATTCTTGTGATACTAGTCTCCCTTGCTAGCCTAGCGTATACTTTATGATTACTGTATTGATCATTAGTTAAGAACCACTTGTTAATAACTCCTGTTGAGTTATCTAATCCTAGCAGACATAATCAAAATTTAATGCGTGTCAATTCGAATTGCAAAACAGAAAGAATGAACGTTTTACAAGATCAGTAAGAAACGATCGTAAAACATATCGTATGAATAATGCAATCATTGATATAGAGAAAGCAGCAGATAGTGAGAAGTTGGGGACGTAGCAGATGATCTGTTACGTCCCCAATTTTTCCACCATTCATCGTGATTTCGTAAAAGAAAAGGGATCCTACTTGTTGCGTGTAACCCTAGTGCCACTCGAGACAAAATTACTGCCTTCACCGGGCCCCCTTTTGCTCATAGAACTAGGACCAGTCTCTCAGCATAGTGGAAGTATCCATATAACAAGCATACACTAGGAGTTTGGTTGGCTAAATCGAACTCCCGATCGACTTATTGAGGCGCGTGCTAAAATGACCGTGCGCAGGCGCGCAAATTCCTCAAGCAGTTCTGTTGTCCGCAACCCAGATGGCCAAGAACAGCTTCCTAACTGCAGAAGAAAAGGCTATAATAGTGAAGTGGCTTGCTGATGGCATGAGAACGCTGGAAATCGCGAAGAAACTGGGCCGAGATCATCGTACAATCATTCGTTATACGAACGATCCTTCGAAAAAGTACACGCGGCGGGGTAGAGCATACAAAACTTCAGTGTCACCGCGAGAAAGGACCGATATCAAGCGGGCACTGAACAAGGACCCGCTATGCACCAGCAAAGAGATTTTTAAAGCTGCTGGGGTTGAAACAGGATCGAAAAGCACGCGATGCAAGATGTTACGTGACATTGCAAAAGTTAGAAAGGCTGATCCAAGCCGATTTTAACCGAAGTTCACAGGGAAGAGAGGGTCCAGTGGGCGCGGGGTAATACGAAGACAGACTTCGGAAAGGTATTGTGGACTGACGAGTCACGAGCAACCTTGGATGAACCCGACGGCTGGGCACGAGGATGGGTGCAAAATGGTGTCGAGTGTCCAGGCCGTTCAAAGAGACAGCAAAGTGGGGGAGGGTGTATGATAATATCATACATACTGATCATAATGATATGGGCAGGAATCGGGGGGGGAGGGGGTAATGGGCCCAGTTCGAGTGGAACAAGGCGTCAAAATGAATTCACAGGATTAGGAAGCTCGTTGTTCTCAGTCTGTAAGTCAACGAGTTAGATACACGAAGCTCCCGGGGAGGCCCGGGCCGTTTGCGGCCGTTTCCGGCCACTGAGGGTTGATAATAACAATATCGCGAGAAAACGTGACTTATGGTGATGGCCTTGTCAACTTTCCGTAGTCAAGGCAGCGTGGGTGAATCATTTTAGAGTGTCACAAGCGACTGGTGTTCCAGACTGAGATATTAGGCGACATTCGGTCACAGATATGCGACCATGGTATACCCCATAGGCATAAGTAGACACCCAGGCACTTAATTCTTTGAACGCCCACACTGCACAAGTACATTCAGTCACTTCTATATGATTATGTTGGTCAATAGTTAACCCTGGGTAATCGGAGATACTGGAAACGTAGTCATTCGTATTTCACGGTTCAGGCGTCCTTCGTCTACATGCTGCGCGTTGTAATCTGGGATAGCATTCTCTCCACTCTGTATAGCCTTGTGTTCCCTAGGAAGAGTCACAGTCCCACTTATTGAGGCTTGGACTATTGCTCGATCCATCGAGTTGTCTGAATATAATCACATCCTATGAGCCTTGATTACTCCTCCTCGGAGCATTCTTTTGCCTGAGTAGATCAAAGCACTCGGTGTTCGCATACACGCGTGACAGGACGAGCGCTTTTTGCCACTAGCCGTTTCATTTGGCTCGGCACTGGTTTGCATCCAATTTGGCTCTTTGGGTCAGTGGAACTTTGGGTTAAGGCACCTGTCCTGTCCGCTGACGCGGTCGACAAGTTGTCGTACCTGACCGCGAGTTGGAACCAGTTAACTTTAGGTTCTTCCGTTCCGTCCTAAATGTATTCGCGTGACACTAGCAATAGCAGGTCTAGTGGTGAGTGCCTGCATAACTTGCCTAATTTTCACCTTAAACACATCAGACATTTGCGATTACACCTTGCTTTCAGGGTCCAAAGACGCTTTTCCCGACGAGGACTGTATCGTTGAAATAAGTGGATCCCCTATCAATAACGGTGTGTCACGCAGCGCCTCGCTAACAGCGAGTCACATGACCCTTTCACCCAATTGTGCTATTCAGGCACTGTTCGAAGGAAAACTCCTCAACACAATCCACCAGAAACTCCAAGAAATGCCAAACGCTCGCTGTTGAAATCGCCCTCGATACTCTGCACAAGCCCGATCAAAAGAGTCAAAGCGAACAATGGTAGTGTCCAACACCGAACTAGTATATTTTCATCGTCGTACTATGATAGTATTATCAATTCAGACAAAAAGGCTAAACGTAACGACGACGGTTTTGAGAAGTACAAATTATACTTCGACAAGAACTCGATGGACAAGACCGTAACTTGCAAGCGGTGCAACAAGAGACTATCTCTCAACAAAGGATATAGTTCCTTGGAGACGCACCCTTGCTATAAGAAGGCTGCACAGCCAGCCGATGACTCCAACAAGAGAAAGCCAGCTCTAATGCAAAAATTATTGGCCAAGGCCGATTTCGAGAGAATAAGTGCGCTAGTTGTCGAAATGATAGGAATAAGCCATAACGGTTATGGCATAACCGCGAATGTGGCCAATGCTCCAGTCCTTTATCACAGATAGTCCTTGACGGATTGCCGTTATGTACCGTTGACCGTCCTGCCAGGACGGTCCTGGCTTGGTTGCGTCGATCAAGTACCTCACAGCCAGCAGATCCGATAAAGGATACAAGATACCGAGTCGAAGACAATAGGAAAGTGAGCCACATAAGACAAAGTGTTCAAGCGCTGAGCAGGTTACTAGACACGCATCTACACGGTCGTATCCA